TCAAATTGAAATAAATTAAAGTTTAATGACCCAATTAGAATTTTGCTAAAAATTTAGTGATCAAAGATGAAATTCGAGGACTTTGTTCAAATACCAAATTGTCCCACCCCCAATCCTTCATTTGTCCGGGTACGGCTCGAGAAGAACCTTCATTTGTCTACGTATGGCTCGAGAGGAAGAAAGAGGGGAGGAACGTAACAAGATTGAGTTTATGGATGAGAAAGTAAATGGCGTTAGATCGATAAGACTAAACTGAAAGTAGTCTTTTGCATTGACTGTTACAACATGGCTATTTTTGAAAATTCACCAGTATGCTATTTTCCATTGGCATGGGAACAAAAATGTTGAAAAGTATCAAAGACTCGAAGCCATAAGCTAGAACCTGACGGACAGACTTCTTAGTCAAAGTCTTCTTCCACTTCATGTGACAGCATATATAATGAAGCATCGAAGTAATTAAGTAAATTTCTTGGAATTTTGAAATAACATATTGCAACCTATGTGAAAGAAGAAGAAAATAGAAGTATACGCTTTAGGTCAACATATATCTCTATTGGCTAACAAAGCAACCCCCGGTACGGCTTCTTTGATTTCTCAATAGAGAGAAATATAATATACATGACAAAAGAAGATTCACAAGAGTTTAACACATAACCAACACTTTGATAATAATTCGAATATAGAACTGCATCCTCATGGACCATTCAGCTAGTTCAAAATTGTGTTCAATTTAATGGTTTGCCTAATGAGGACTGTTACTCATATAAATAATCGTAAAATAAATTCCACGTGGCAAGCGGACGAGCCCCATAGGTGGAGTAGCAAACGGACGACCATGTGTGTGCCGATCCCCGTTGGAGGAGGCAGTAAGTCAACTAACAGCAGACTTGAAGAAATGATTGACAAGACAACACCCTGCCAATGCTGTCTCTACACACCTACGCAATCAAATCTTATGTCAGGAGAAAAGATAAGGGGATCTAGCATTAATGGTTTGATTGATTGACTCTCTAATAAGAACCATTAGATCATTCACCATCAGACGGACCCCATTCACTCAACTTAAGATATAAAAAGCCTACACTCCAAACGTGAAAGGAGGATGCAAATTTGGATATTCAAAAAGAAAAAAACCTTGATTCTCTCTGCCACGCTCAACGGCCGACCCCCTTTTTATGCATTAAGCAATCATAAGAACATCATATAAAATGTTGTAGATCAATCCCTACAATGATTCATCAATATAACCAGCACTCAGGTTCGAGCACGTCGCGATTCGATCTATAAGGACTTGAATCCCTAATTTTCTGTTGGCCACATCATAGGGCCAATTTTTGGGGTCAACAAGGACCGTACGATTACATTATGAATTTTTTTGGAGATATGTGATACCTTCAATATCAATAAGGTGATAAAGGAAGTTATAAATTGAGACTCTTCTCATTCTCTTTGCATGATAAGGCAAGAAGAACATGGCTAAACTTGCTCCTTGCTAGATCAATCACCACATGAGGACGGTTGGGAAAATATTACCGTTGGCAGAAAATATTGTTGAGGGCTATAAGTAACAACGTAATAATCAATCAACTTTAATAATACATCTAATTTATCGAAACATAAAATACAAGAAAATAATTAATAGATTCAACAAGCAGGTATGGCGATTCTTATTAATCAACAATGTATTCTAAGTTGATGAATACCGTGTTATAAAGTTGTAAAGAAAAAGTTGAACTTCATTAAACTCAAGAGTCATGTCATGTACGGTACTATATAATAAACATACATCTTTTACTCCGAAAACTAACTTAGAACTGGTCTATTAATGGGCTAAAATAAGCTTAAACCTTTGGGCTTGAGGATTTTGGAGTCCTGAAATTCCAAGCACATGCATTTCTTGGTAAGAATTTCCACTTGGGGTTTCCATTTCCACTATGGCTCCATAGGTCGAAGCTCAAGCAATCACTTGCTTGTGTTTCGTTGTCGGTGTCGACTCGAATGTAACTCCCGCTCATTGGATCATACAATATGTAATACATTGACCTATGAAATTTGGATATGAGTAGAGTTATTTTCAAAAAAGTAAAATAAAGTTAACTCATTCTATTATCCAAACATATTTTGTCCTTGTTTGGTGTAACTTAAAATTTTGATCAAAATTTAAGTTAAAGTCAACGCTTAATTTTAACCACACATTTTATGGACCCATGACTTTTATCAATTTTTTAATGACACATTTTGTTACATGGTGTAAAGGTATAAGCCCCTTTTTGATTCAAATTAATTTAAATTAAATATTTTATGGGATCCATAACTTTTTAACCACACGTTTCATTATTTTTTATTAAAATTTACTAAAAGTCTGATAATTCATACCAAACACGAGTTAAATATTTTATTGAGGATGTGTCACATGTTGTGTTAGCTTGAATTGGACCTACAATTCAACCTTTGTTTGAGCCCCATTTTTGAAGAAAAATGTATTTTGACTCCAATTATGCTAATTAGACATAATAGTTGACATAATGTCACATAAAATTTTATCATTGGAGTGTTTAAAATACATTCAACTTTTTCATCAAGTCATATCTTATCAATACCAATTATGTCACTCTATTTGTCGTCTACTTTCTGACAAAATAGTATAATTCATTTGACTTAACTTATAAATTCAAAGTAGACGTACTATTCTATTTATAAGTTAGATTTTTTTATACATAAAGGTATTACTTATTTCAAATGGATTCTACCACTTGTACATAAAAAGTACATTAGCAATTATCGAAAATGATGTGGAGAGAAAAAATTGATTGTGTTTTAAACTGACAAATGATATAATGTTATGTGCATTATGTAATCCATTACGTAAATCTTAATATACATGTAGCAAGATCCATTTTAAAAATGAATTAATCTACTTGTACACATATTCTCTCTACCTTGTATTACACTCCCTTATGTGTTGAAAATCTAACCATGCATGAAAAATGTGATGTTAAAATTAATACACCAAAATCTATCAACTCAACAAGGTGTAAACTAACATGTCAACTTTTATGTACATGTAGTATGATCATTCAAAAATAGGGTGATGTGACGGCAATAATTTCTGTAGATACTAATAAGTACGGTTATGCGCGTTTACTTATAAGTAATTTTTTAAGTTAAAGCCAATACATATGGAAAGGATTCAGCATAAAACTGAGCATATCATAGTTTTTCTCTCCTTTACCTCTGTTTAATCATCGACATATTGGATCAAAGATTCAGAACCAGATGAAAATAAAATGAAAGTTAGTTGATAGTATAATTAAAGATCTCCTTTCTTATTGTCTTGCCATGGCTAATGAGCCGCGGGAGTACTGAAAGGGGAATTGGATGGTTGAAGAAACCATGGTTATTATAGAAGCAAAGAAAATGGATGACGAGAGACGATTAATGATTAGGCATGGTGGCGAAAGCAGTAGTTCTGGCAAACTAGGAGAATTAATATTACAACCCATTTTTTTAGGTCAAAAGTCAAATGTAGAATTGTCCAAGTCATAGTTAAATGAGACTTAAGTGAAGCAAATTATTTTCTTGGGGTTTATTTTGCAATGGATGATATATGAGGGTTAAGATGGATTATATTTGGAGTTAAGGACTTACTTATATTATCATGGGAAGTGAAGGGACTTCCTTTGCAAAAGCCCACTACTTTCCCAATTTATACCCATTTCCATTTTCATTCACGCAGAGAGAAGCAGAGACCGAAACCGTGAAGAAAGAAAGGAAAAGAGAAGAAGAAGGAGAGGAAGGAAAAAAAAAAGGAAAGAAAAGGAGTAAGTGTTGATTCTTCAATCTTGAGTTCAATTTATTTTATTTTTTTCAAAAGATAAAGGAATATATTATGTCAATTTTCTAGGGTTTTAATTTGGTTCAAAATTGCAAATGTAGGGAAAAGATTATGATTTCTAGTTCAAATTTCATGATGGTTAGCTTCCATTTGCATTTAAGGTAAGAAACTCCATTTTTGGGTAAACTCTAGAATTTTTAATTTGATTATTAAGTAAGAATATTTGATGGAAATGATTGTGATGATGAAATGCATACTTGGAAGTATAAATTTATGGAAGAAGAGGAAATTTAATTGGGTGTATTATAGTTACTATCCGTCACTAGATTGAAGTGGGTATTTACATATATGCTCGGATTGAAGGTTATGTTGATGGGTTGGTCATTTGTAAATGGACTAGAAAGTGAGATTAGCTCCTATGGATTAAAGGAATAATTTGGGGAATTTATTCTAGTATGGA